TCTCTCTCACCTTCCTCTCTCTCTCTCTCTCATCTTCCTCTTTCTCTCTCCCCTTCCTCTCTCTCTCTCTCACCTTCCTCTCTCTCTCTCACCTTCCTCTCTCTCTCTCACCTTCCTCTTTCTCTCTCACCTTCCTCTTTCTCTCTCTCACACCTTCCCTTCTCTTTCTCTCTCATAATTCAATGAGAAAATATGAGCATCCCTCCCAAAACACACCAGCCAATGCAACCACAGGAGACATTCTTGAAGAAAATATGGAAACTTCATTTTGTTTGTTTTGCTGCAAAAACAAAAAAAATCTATTTTTCCATAAGAAGAGGTAAGCAGAAGTATGTTTTATTTATGCATATCCATAATATGGGTATACAATCTCTTTTTCACAAAAGAAATGTGATTACATCTACAAAATAAAATAAATCACCATTAAATAATCTCTCGTTTCAAACATACACCCAGTGAGAATAAAACTTCTTCATTCCACTGCAATTCCAAACCTTTCTTTTATAAAATTGTAAAAGGTTATCAAATATCTTCACGTTCATAATTTTTCCACAGGAAAAAAATGCCTATTAAAAAGAAAAAACAAAATAAAAATTTCATGCCAAAATTTTTATAACCTCTTTTTTTCTTCAATTTTTTTTAATTTTATTAGTTTTTTTTCATTTTCTACTCCATATTCTCGCTTTTGTACTAACATTTCGAATTTCCTCTTCAATTTCTTCTTTAGGACCAATGGGAACATTCGTTAAGAAAATAGATCGCTGTTGGCATAACTCTACCTCAGCTGCTGTATGAGGAAACTCCCATTCAATGGCTAACTTCAATATATGTGTCTATGCAAAACAAAGTTAAAACGATGGAAGGAATATACAGTATATCATTTACAGGAAGAAGGTCAAAGGCTTCAGAGAATGGAGAGAAGAGTGAGAGGAAAGAGAGAAGAGGAATGAGGGGAGAGAAAGAGAGAGGAGAAGAATGAGGGGAGAGAGAGAGAGAAGAAGAATGAGGGGAGAGAGAGAGAGAAGAAGAATTAGGGAAGAGAAGGAGAGAGTAGAGGAATGCGGGGAGAGAGAGAGAGAGGAGAAGAATGAGGGGAGAGAGAGAGAGAGAGAAGAAGAATGAGGGGAGAGAAAGAGAGAGAAGAGGAATGAGTGGAGAGAGAGAGATTAGAGGAATGAGGGAAGAGAAAGAGAGAGAAAAGCAATGAGGGAAGAGAAAGAGAGAGAGTAGAGGAATGAGAGAAAAGAGAGAAAAGCAATGAGGGGAGAGAAAAGGAGAGAGAAGAGGAGAGAGAAAGTAGAGGAAGGAAAGAGAATAGGAGAGAAAAAAAGAGAGAAGAGGAATGAGTGGAGAGAGAAAAATTCACAGACAGTAAATGCACATATAGGTACACACAAGGAAAAAATTACTTGAGAGAAGAAATATGCATGGGATTGATCACAAGTAAGAAGAACAGACATCTTTATGATGTAATTCCATAAGAAGAATACCATGGAGGCCTATACCTTTTTTTGAAAATAAACAACCGAGAAAAACAATTACCTGAGGAAAATACCGTTTTCTAGGATTTAAAATTGAAAATGGATAAGAGGAATTGGAAAAAGAGGATTTGGTGAGACTGTACGTTGTAAAATCCTCAGGAAAGCTTTGAGGAAAAGGTAAAGCCAAATGCATACTCTAAATATAAATTTAAAAAAAATCAGAACAGAAAAGAATTGATAAAATAAAAAAAAAAGAATAGCTTCTTCGCATTACAATGTGGAGATTTACATACAAACTGCAATGAAAAAAATAAAAATAAAAATCAATTAAAAAAAATAATGAAGCGATAAGGACAAAGGCAATCAGTGTCACACTTTGTTAAAACATTGAAATCTGTGAATATTTCTATAAAAAAATATTTTCTACTTTGTAAAAAACGGCATATATAGTATGAGGTGTAGATTCGATTAACTAATAAACACGCAGGAAGATAATAGAAATAGAGAAAGGAAATGGAAATAGTATAGAGCAATGCACAAAACGAATGGAAAAAAAGTACAGCAGCTCCCATAAAAATGCAAAACAAGCAAATAGAACGTATTCCATCATGAAAACAGTAGAAAAAGTTGACCCTAATGCCAGATGAAAGCATCAAATACTTTTATTTTTAGTAAGATTTAAAAATAATATTATTTTAAGAATAGAAAAGATTCTATACACTTTTTTTTAACCTACCAAAGCATCTTCATCTTCTTTTTCTTTAGAGGTAGCAATGTCGTCAATTTCGAGGATATCCATACATTTTAAAAGACGATAAAGGAGGTGTTCCTTATACTCATCTATAGCACACACAAAAATATAATAGTTTCCATTGAATGCATAACAATAATCTAGGAATTCCTTGGCTCAGAGTGGCACGTGCAAGCAATGCTATCACTATAGGTAGAAACACATTTCTCTCTAAGTAAGACCAACCTATATTTACTTTGTTGCTTCTTGTAGGAATAAATTTAATGCCAAAAAAAATTACAACAAAAAAAAGCTTATGTTTCAGAAAGCACGTTTAATTTACCAGGAAAAAGTTTGAAGCATTTTTTAACAAATTGAAAGCGATGAGTGCAACCACGTCTTGAAATCTGCCTATAAGAGGCTAGTAATTGCTTCAGTTTTTCAATAGAATAATTAGATAAAAGTAAAATGCTGTCATGGCGAAATTCATCACGAGAAGTACTACACGAAAAGTTGTTCCATAATGAAGACGACTTCTTCAAAAGATATTGCTTCCGTTCTCTCTGAGTTACCAAGCGAGTAAAGGCTTGACATGAAAACGTAGCTTCCAGGCAAGCCAAATCAAAAAGATATGAGATAAGTTTTTCATCTTCCACTATTTGTAAAGCAGTCTTTGAATCTTCTGCAACTGTTTTCGTCTTTATTATTTGGCCTTCTATCTGGGGACCTTCGGCAGTCACGGAAGTTGTGGCGGGTGCGTGAACATCCGAATCTGCTTTTGCAGCACTTGACGGATCATTGCATAAAAAAGCTTTTCTCTCCACGATAAGCTCGGACACTATATCATTGGGTCTCTCAGCATTTTCAAAAATAGATATGTTCTCTTTTACCGCAAGAGAGGCACATCTTTGGGCAGAAACAACAATGGAAGTATTAAAGACAATTTGTGGAGTAACAACATTTAGCACAGACGTTTTTAAAACATAGGGACCGAAACGGATCGGAAATACACGCTTCACAGCCAGCGTCGAGCGATAGCAATGAGAAGAGAAAGCGATGGGAAAACGAAAATATTGACTGAGAAAGACCATCAGGAACATAAACTTAACTACTCCGGAACTCAAGATGGTTCACGATTCAAAGAAAAACTCAAACGTCAGCCCTTCACGAAAGAGAGAGGAAAGATGCGATAATTTTAGTATGTAAAGCACATGTACATACAGATTCCGAACTATTTTGCAACATCAACGCGTAGGCATTTTTGTGGATTCAAAGCAAACTGCGCAGTGCATAAATAGACAATAAGAGCAATATACAAGCCAAACATTGGAAGAGACTGGATGATTGATTTTTAATTTAGAGTTGACATACGAGCATTGAAGATTTCAATCGATTTCATAGAGTTGTTGAAGCGCAAAAAGGTTTTGTTAACTATTGACAGAAAGGAAGAACGTCATCTTGTGAATTTTGTCAAGAAAAAACTTCACTTTACTTAACCAATTCTTTGGGCTTCATGTGTATTCCTTTTCCGTTTTGGAGGATTTTTTGCGCGTTTTTTCCTTTTGAGTAGATGGAGGTATGCACATTTTTTCACTGCCATGGTACGATGGATATTGTAGTAGAACAAAGCTAAACTACATTCGAATGTATTAAATGATTTATATCAATAAAGTAGCCTGCTTAGCTTAGTTGGTAGAGCGTCCGCTTAGTAAGCGGGCGGTCGTGAGTTCGATTCTCACAGTAGGCTGTTATTTTATTGTCATTGCTATGTAACGAATTCTTTTGCTGTTGATGCAATGAATATGTTCTTTCACAAGTACACATCTTTCCTTTCGATTTTTCTGAATACTTTTTCTGCCTATACTACATGATAAAATGAAAATCTCCTACATTTAAATGTGAATCAATAAAAACCACTAGCCGTGTGGTAGCTACAGCGCCTTTCGCACACCCTTAAAAGAAAACGTGGCCATTCATGCATTGCTCGCATATGAAGAATCAATCTGATGTTGCAATTTATATTGTAGCAAGAACAGTTATCAATTCAACTCTTTTTCTTTCACTTATAAATGATTTGCTTAATAAATGTTTTATTTACTTCAACTAAAAACCTTTTTCGAACAAGCTTTTGATACGAATAAATAAACGTAACCGAAATGTAGAGAAAGTTATCAATAAAATGAAGATGTCTCTCTCATCTCCATTAACGTTTAATTTCTTTGAAAAAATACAGTATCTTTAACTTTTTGCGCGAATGATAAAAAAGATATTTGCGTATACAAGGAAAAAGAATATTGGGGCATCATCAAAATTACGTGCATTAGGTATTGCGTTGGCAATCGTGAATCAACAACAGCAGTTTTCATAGTTTTTTACAGGATCAAAAATGCTATCATTGCTGGGCGCTATTTTTGCTTGTTGATAATTTCTTATTTCTTGATTGCATAGAATGTTGCAATAACACAACTTAATCAGAAGAAATAAATGTTGATCAACTAACTCTTAAGAACTACAGTCTCGGTTAGAAGAATGTACTTTTTTTTCGCGCTTTTATATCACTTCTGCCACACTATCTGAAGGGCAACTAGTTTATATAGATAGAACAATTTGGGATTATAAAGTGTGCCAGCAAGAAGACCTTGCTCACACACGGTAGATTTTCGTTGTTTTGAAGTTAAGCATTTATCTGAATACACATTTAGCTATTCAAACTTAGCTAACATATCAAATGGTGGCAGGACGAATTTATTAAATGGAGGTAGTTTCTATTTCAAAACGAAGAACTTTCATTACAGAAAAATAATTTTGGAAAGGTTCACTGTAGCAAAATAATAAAAACGGCTTGCTTCTACTGTAACAAAATATAGCTTTGCAATATGCAGCGCGTATGTCGGGGAAAATCAGAAACTGATTGTGCATACTTTTATAGAAAGCTCTCCATCACAGTTCTTTTTGCTTCTTTTTTTTTGCTTAAGATATGTGATATTTCTTAAACAAAAACTACGTAAGCATCCAATATGTTCCGCAAAATCGTGTATACACTTGTAAACGTATTTTCTTTTTTAGAAATAATTGAAACCAAGAGAATATGCAAGTACTTTGCACTTGTTAAACTGAAAAAATTTGTAAAAAACTTTAACGGGGATTAATTGCTTGCTGCTAAAATGAAACGGAGCCACTTCTTGAGAAGATTATATCACATTGGAATTACTTCGGTGCAACTATAAATACGTTCTACTAACCTTTACAGTTTTTTGGGATTCTCACACAGTTTTGATGTGCCTAGATAATTTAGGCAGCACAGACAGCGATTGTCAAAAGAAGTTAAGATCAACGGACGATTGTGTCGATACAACTTTGTTACTTAACTGAACGATGATTTTTATTATTCTTACAATTAATTTTCTTAGAATTTCTATTGCTATAATCGAATTTGATGTTCTACGTTGAATTATTTTCTTTTATTTACGAATAGATATTTTCGGTTACAAGTTTTACTTTTTGTTTTCATGGTGTGAAACGTCCAGTTTCTTCTGTTAGTAATTTGCGGTGGGCTCTTACGAGTAAGGAGCGTTGGTGGAGCTCATTACAAAATTATATAATCATTTTACCTTCTCTTAAAATACATTTGGCGCTAGCTTTCTATAAATTAACTTATTTGAGGTTTACTGCTTTTAAGTTTGCTTTCGAGCAGTCGGGTTTCTGGATCCGCGTTAACTTACGGATATATCAGTGTGCATTTTAACTATATTATCATTGCACTATGCTCTTAAAATATCTGAACTCTATCTTGTGCAACACATCGCCTTTTGTGATGTAGTAGTGGATACTTTAAGAAGGATGATTTAAAGGGTATAAATGGAAGAGAATATTGGGCTCCATTACCGAGCACAATTCAAATAGTAGGTATTTTATGGGAAAATTGAAACCAGGGCACTTATTAGTAATTTTAAACACATTTTCACCGGAATGACATGCTAGATATACAACATGAAAATAATTCACTCCTTTCAAAACTAAACATGTATTTAAGAAACATGGAAAAAATAATAAGAAAAAGGCTAATTAAGAAAAAGGTCTAGCTTAGATAAGGTTACTTCTATTATCCTGGCAGTATACTTGCGTATGGTTAACTTTTTTTTTCATTTCTTGTCATCCGGATCTTATAATTCATAGATCGCTAATCCGATCAAGATTGAACGTGTGCACTCAAATGTAATCCAATTTGGCTCAGTCTTTATCTACAATTCTTTACTCATAGGAAACTGATTCAGTCGTAAGCAATACTGATAGCATACTTCAACTAAGCACAGTTGGCTCCTATAATTTTCTAATTTTTACATGTGCTTCCTTCGCTAATTTGTCTTATCAGTGAGTTGTGGAAAATATTGATACATTCATTGATGATTCCCAACTAGAACAAACCTTGCTCTTCTTCTTGAGCGACGCTGCATTTTTGTCTATGAATGTGCATATCTTTGCAAAGTGTAGAAACCGAAAGTAACACTCCAATACTGCATTAAGATAAAAATTTATTAGTTGCAACTAACATGTTGTACGTATGGTATGTCATGTTTCTGTTAAGCAAATGACTCTTTCTTTATAGCTATTACATATTTTGGCAACATAAATTCTTGTTGATAGTACCGCTGTGCACCTACATGAATTTAAACCAAACTTATGCACAAAGTTCCCCGAATGGCCTCAAACGGTTTTCGACTGGTGAGTATTAGATTAAATTCTGAATGAATGATGATATTTGTTAAACTGTTTTTGTAGTAGCAACAGGATACTTTAGCTGCAAAAGGAACAGCTGATTGGCTGTTTTGTATAACTTAAGCTGTGGCAAGTGCTTTTCTATCATCCACTTCCAACGAAAAACACGTATTATTCCAACGGAATTACTCAGCAAATTCTGTGCTTTTAACTCTCAAATTGTCTAACCGCACTTTGGTTCAGCATTAGGATGTTGCTAATAATCTCAAAATTACTTCAAAATGAAATTCATTTGGTATATGTTCTTTTTGTGAAAGAAAATATTAGTGCACGTATGCTGAGGGGATTGGAAAGTTCACATCACTTTGGGCGTAAGCAGTGGATCACTATTATTGTATATTACCAAGTATTTCACAATAACGCTTCCCGCACATTAATAAAGGACAAAAGTTTGGCAACCCTTTTCACTTGAACAGAACGATGTGAAAATAGTAGAACCCGGTCCGAGTAGTTATTCAACTTTCCTAGCCTGAAGTACTGCGTTTTACAAAAGAGAACGTCATAAACTCTAAAGTACTGTGATACTTATATTAATTTGCCTTTGAAATTGGAAAACGCATCTTCGTTTGACTCATGGCTAGCCTATCAAAAATAAAACGCGTTTTGGCTTTCTCGCTTCTGCTTTTGATTGGTGTCGTAATCCTATTTCGTTACTATGAATTCGACGATGGCCAGAAATTTTGCGTGCTTTCTTCTGATCGACCGGACCGCAATAACCCTCCTGTTTGGGAGTATGAGCCAACACAAAACACGCATAGAAACATAGGTATGTGTAATTTGAAGAAGATCCTTTCGAGCATGGATATTCCAGTTTCTCTCCTGTAATGCACATTGGCCATTCTTGCTACGCTTTTTCCCCATAATTTTGCTAAACATGCAAGCGCTTTTTGGCATGATGCCTACATTGGAATTGTCGATGCGACTTATGTAGCGTTGCCATGCAAAATCAACGATGCGTGCTGCCAGAATTAAAAAATAAACTCATCACTTGTTCTATTGCATACGCTTTATATCAGCTTATGCTTCGGCATAGACCCTGTTACGTATCTCTACGCGAGTTTGACTCCCGTTTTAAATTATGTCGCATTTCCTTTCAAAAATATGTAACTGGTATAGTTAATACTGCAAACTGTGAGACTCCCACTAAGAGAAAGAATCCTTGCAGCATTTTCTATGCAGTGTTGTTTTCAATAAAATCCTTTTTCTTGTTGCAATGACAATTTGCACTACTTTTATCCGAGTAAAAACATGATATAGTGTAATATGTTGCAGAGTTATGCTTCATTTTCAGGACTTCAAAGTTCTTCTTGTGCAATGATATTGATACAGTTTTAAATCAACTAAAAATGAATGACAAATATACTTATTATGAATACTGAGTATTTTTCTATAACAATAATTTTTCAACAGTTTTTTCTTGAAAGTTTCACAGCTTGTAAGAAAATGTGTTGGGTTTTGAGTGCTTTGTTCTTAAAGAAGTAGGTCTGCTTATCGATTTATGACTTATTTTTGTATTGAATTTTATGACAGTAGATGTAATTGTTCAGAATGGTGATGCCACCTTTTTCACTTTATATAGAGTTTTATATGGTGAATTAAGATTGCATTGTTTATAAATGTTTGAGTATTTTCTCATATAATGCTAGTGCAGATGAGGCTGGTTGCCTACGTTGCAACTACCTATTTGGATTGTACGAAATATTTAGATTTCCTGTTTTATTTTAGGAGGGCAAGGATGCCTTGAGGATTTAGTAACCTATGTCAATGGTCTTAGAGCTGGACCAGATTCCATTGTTGCTTCATCGGTAGATTAAAACTTACATAGCTTGTTCTGTTTTAAATTTCTTTCTATATGAGAACTTCAAAAAATGTAGTGGAGTGCCTTCCATTTGAAAGTAAATTCTTCTTCTTACTCTTGGTTCTGAAAGAGTAAGAGTTCGGAAAACATTTTTACATAGTTTCTAAATTTCC